ATATATATAAAATATATATATATATCCGAAATCGATATGGGCGCACTTTTGACGAGCACACTCGAACCTGTGCTCGCAGGTGCGGGCGCATGCCCGGACCTAGATGCGCGCACCGGTGTGAGTTATAATTACGGTGACCCGTTTGTTTGAACTCCACCGATAACGAGCAACGATTTTACGCCTATCTCCCCCCTTCCCTCGGCCGGAAGGTCGAGATGGAGAAGGGAAAAAACACGCGGTATTTTCACCCCGCTGATTTATTAAGCGGCGAATCCATCCCTCAAAAACCGCTCCATCCGCGATGTCGAGTAATTAGCGCGAGCGTGGATCTGTCGCGTTCCAACGGCTAATTGCGACAATAGCCGCGTTCGAGAGAAACGGCTGTTTCTTGGGATCGTTAGCGGGGAATATATATATATATATATATATTGAGAGGAGGGAGGCTTTTCCCTTCGTTGTAACCTCGTTCCACGCGAGTTAAGACGACGATCGTCTTTCCCTTTCGATGTTTTTAATTGTAATGGGGGAAGGATGAATCCTTCCTCTATTTCTCTCTGGATTAGTTTCGAAATAATTCGAAAATTCTTTGAGCGCGAGAAGGAATATCGGGGCGCGGGGAAGGTACAAATGTTTCTCGAAGAAGGGAAGAGGTTCTCGTGCGGGGAGGGAGGAAAGCGGCCCGATGAAAACCAGTTATCCGATGAACCAAAGAATATCCGATAAAGTTCTATCAAGATAATGGAGCAAACCGACGAAACTTTCTTTCCCATTCCGAAGGCAATCTCTGCGGATAACTCCGCCTTTATATCAAATTTCCCCCGATCGATCGATCGCTTAACTCTCGCCGCTCACTCACCCCCTCCCATCGTTTTCCCTCGATCGGTCACGAATAATAAGCGAGTATTTCGATTTTTCCCTTTCTAGCCAAGAGAAAGAGAGAAAGAAAGAAAGAGAGAGAGAGAGATCTATCGGTTGGATTTTTCGAACGGAGCCCTCGAATCGCGTCGCAAGATCCACGCTCGAACGGCGAAACGGGTTTCCGGTCCCGGTGGCAGGCCGCTCCACCTGAAATTGAATATATGAATGCGAAATTTCAGCGGCGCTCAGGTCCGCCGAGGATTCGACTTTCGAATCCGGTGGAAAATAGCGACTCGTTAGGCGCCGTTTCCACGGAGAAACACGGCCGAACGAATTTTAATTAGAACCCTACCACGACGATGACGACGACGAGTCGCGGGGAAATGCGCGTTTGTTCCCGCGCCCATGTAAAAAACCGGCTTGATTACGTCTCCCGCGTGAATCTCCAATCCTGCGCGCATGCCTCGAGAACACGGTGCGGTGAAATAAAGCGATCAATTAGGCGCTCTTTTAGCGCGGCCAAAAATTAGAATAATTGACAAACTCGCAAGGGAGGGAATTTCGTTCGAATTTGAGGGAGGTGTGAAAAGAAGAAACTGTTTGTAAAATTAATGCTCGAAAAAAAAAAAAAGAAGACTTAACTGGTAAATCTTACCCTCGTTTCGCGCGATGAAAGAAATCTATAATAAATCGTGCTTAGATATACAATTTTTCTTCGATGCTTATAAAAAAAAAGCTGTAAAAAATGGATTCCTTCTTCTTCCAAGATTCGTTTCAAGGATTCGACGAGGATCGAATAAAAGGAGATCCAAGATAGATATTAACGGACACGAAGCGGCTCTATCCTCGAGGCGTATCGATTTTTCGAGCCGAAAAATTCATCATCCGCGTTTCTTTCGAACGCGGATGAGCGAACACGACCCACCACCTCGCGTTGCTCGTCCAAGCGTAGGGGAGGCCGTTTCGCTCGAATCAATCACTCGACGGAACATCGATACGCGGGTAATCGCTGGATTAAAGGATAACCAAGGATAATTACTCGCCGTTCGATCCGGATGCAATCAATTCTCGATGCGTTATAGTTCGCGCTACCAAACCCACCACCAGCTTTCTGTCCCCCGTGATCACTCGCATCCGTCTTCCTTCCTGCCGATTCTTTTTCCGCCCTCCAATGCCTCGATCTAACTGGAACTAAACCTTTAATGCGACCCCCCCTCTGCTCGACCAGCTGCGCTTTTAATTTCTCCTACCAGTGGTGGTAAGTAATTTCTTCTCCAACTCGGTGAAGTTTGCATTTGTTTTATTTTCCACGATGGATCTCACGCTCCGATGATATTAAATGACGAGATTTGAAGCAAAGAGTTTCAAGTAAAAAGATTTTTTAATCCTCGATGATCTCTGACGTATGAGCATTGAATGGCGGCTCGAAATTTCCTTTCCTTTTCTTGTCAAAATATATATATTTTTAAAGGGAAAAAGAAGAAGTCTCTGTAATTTAACACGTTTGCCATTTAAAGAGAAACATTTCGATTGTATTATTCTTCTATAGAGTATGAAATGAAAAAAAAAGGGGTGGGGGGAGGAATAAAAATATAATGAGCAAGCGTTGTTAATTATTCTTTATAAAACGTGTAATCATTTTCGCCGAGTACGAAAAAAATTTCATTATTTAACGTAATAAATGTTTTACCACAAACAGACTGTGGATTTTTATGCAAAATCAAACTTTCATGAATACGAACTAAAAAAAAAAAAAAAAGAAAAAATGAAGCTTAATTTGCTTTATCCTTGAAATGGCATACAATAATGCATACCATATTTTAGATATTTTCTATCTTTTTGCACGTCATGTGTATTTTACAAGTTTTTGTACATTCAAATTTTGTACATAAATTTATAAATATTCAAAATATCGCGTATAATAATACGCGAGGCATGGCAACGAACGTGTTATGCATGTAAAAATACATAAACAAAGTCGGCCATCAGCTGAGAAGTGTAGCATAACACTTCCTCCTTTCCTATCACACAAATACAAAATATACAAATAATATAAATGTACAAAAAAATGTATTCGTAAGCAGCGATCTGATACACAACCGTACGCGAATCATAATTAAAAAACTCGAGACGAATTTCCTTATTTTTCATTTCCTTATTTTTCACGGATGGATCGATGTAAATCCTAAATAACCAACTAACGAACAACAAAAAATCCACTTTAACCCAAACCACATCCTCAAAGTTTTCTCAAAGTTCAATAACGAATCGAACGAAATTAATAAAACTTTAAAAAACATATAACAATATAAAATTCTACGACTTCATCCTATTTATCCTCTATCTTTATATTTATCTTCTTTATCCTCTATCGTTTATTAAACGCGCGCGAGAGAGAGAGAGAGAGAAACCCTTCCGCAAGAATGTTTAGACAAAATTGCGCCACGTGCATTTTTCACAGTGAGCGCGCGAAAATTTACAGCTGTTAAAACGGCGGATATTTGCCCGGCCAAATTATGCTGACCATAGTTTCGCTCTTGTTAACGCAACTCGCGTCCATCAACAGCCGCCCCCTAGAACGAGTTGCCGTGGCAAAAATATCCGTTTCCTCGAACCTCCCCCTCTTTTAGCGGGGCCATCTCTTTTTCTCTTACTTCCAACTTCAACAAGAGAAAATTATCATCCGGCCGGAATTTCGCGGTACAAACTCGTTTCGTAAAAAAAAGAAAGAAAAAAAAAAAAAAGGGGGGAGTAACGAGATCTCTCTAAATTTTTCTCCCCTCCTGCGAAAGTTGAAATTCGATCGGGCGCGTAATATCGCGTCGCATCTCTACTACACCACTCTGCCACCAGACTTATCACCGTGAAACTTTAATTTAATTTCGTCTCTCGCCTCCCCTCATTTCCTCCCCTCCTATCTCCTCCTCATATTATTTCCCGGAGTCGCCGGATTTCGAACTTTAATCCCGTCGAGTCGACGTAACTTTTCGCTCGGAATCCACGTATCTCGGCAGAGGGGAGGGAGGGAAGGGCGAGATAAATCGTCGATAAGCCTCGTGTCCAAGGAAGTTCAATTGCCACAAGGTTTTCTCCCCTGCGGGAAACCGATTGCTTGCCGCGGTTTTAATTATATATACGGTGTTTGAGTTGGTCGAGAAACCGTGTTTTTTGAAGATCGAGGGAAACGTGATGATGGTGATCTGGTCGCAAGTTGATGGAAGTTGTTCGTGATCTTGGAAATAGAGACGTGTTTTTGGAAATAGGAGAGACGCGGATGCGGATGATGGATATTGATATTCGTGATCTTGAGTCGAGATGTGTTTCTGGAAATGGAATGGGAGTGGTAAAAGGTTCGTGATCTTGCGACTTTCTTCGAGTTATGAATCGAGGAGGTTTTTGGATAATAAGGAAGACGTGGATGATTGGAAAGTTTGGGTAATCTTGATTCTAATTAGAATTTTTCGAATGGATTGGAATGTGTTTTTGGAAATTAAAAAGAAAAAAAAAAAAAGAGTTGGAAGGATGAAAGATTCGAGTGCGAGTTTTCGTTCGAGATTTAAAGATGGAATTGCGATTGATTTGTAATTTAAATTGATTGCTCAAATTTTTGTTTTCCGATAGAGAATCTAACGGAAATCTTTAATTGGAAAACTGGAATTCTGTGTTTTTTAACAAAGCTATGCAATCACAAAAATAGTTTTACGTTATTTCACGGAGGATATTCATTTAATTTAAAAATTCTGATTTTAATGAAAATTCGTGTATATACGTAAACCATAATGGATTACGTTTCTGCAATTTTTTATTTTTTATTTTTTTTTTTTTTAATGAAAAATATTTTGAATCTTGTGAAATGAATCCTCAAATTTTCATTATTATCTTTCCAATACAAATTCGCCTGAGAATATTTGTTACAAAGTTGATTAGAAATTAATTTAAATTTGTTTGATCATTACGAATAAAGATTCTCAATACTTTAAAAATTGATATTGTAAAAATATCGATCGATTGATATTCCACGATCCTCTACACGACTCTAACAAATATTCCTCGACCTACTTCTCCAATCCATGAAATATCAAATACATATAATACAAAACGAATCTTTAATTGAACAAAACGTAAAGAAAATGAAAACTCACGATTACGGTCGTCCGTCTGATTTCTCTTGTGCTGCGTTTTGTGATGATGCCCACCAGGAACAGGTATCTGCTTCATGGCAACCAGATCGTGGTGATCGGCGTCGATCAACGGATTCTCGAGCTGGGACTCGATCACCTCGAAGCTGGTCGAGTTGTCCGGATGCGAGATGACCTTCACTGTAAACGAGCAAACGTAACGGAGCATGGAGAGGAAAACGTTGGCGCGTCTGGAATCGTCGATTCTAATTCCCGACACCCGCAAAAATTGTTCGTCATCGCGCGAGGAAATCGTCGAGGAAACACGTTCATCTCGTTTCATCGTCAAATCCTCTTTTAACGCGCGGCGCGATATTAACAAGCTTCTTCAAAACATTGCAACATTGTCGCGTCGAATTCCCTTCGAATAGAAACGAAATTTGCGAAACGTTTGTTGCCGATCGATCAACGGGGCCAAGCACTCGCTAAAGTCGTTCCCGTTCAAATTTTAACCGAGGATTTTTGGAGGAATTTTTCTCCCCGGAAAACATTGCGCAACGACGATCCGCCGATATGATCTCCTTCACAGCGGCTTGTTTTGAAAGCAGCGAGGTGTCGACGGTGAGAACGCGGCAGTGAATTTGTTCGAAAAAAAAATCGGATAGGATCGATTACATCTTCGAATTTCCAAGCCTGAGCAGCGAGTCTTCCCGACAACTCGATCCCTGCGCGTATCCAGTCGCTCGTTGTTAAAAAATAACAAATGTCGCGATCGGCGCGCATGAGAAGAAATATGCACAACGAGGGAGGGGAGAAGCAATATGAAATGTGATTGTTCGAAACGATAAAAGACAGGCGAGTCGTTTACTTTTCGCGTCCCGATCGATCGATCGCGAAATGGCGGAATTGGTGCGGAATCGACGAGGTGTCCGCCTGGCGCACTCCTCTGTACGAACCGATGTACGAACCTTGGTCGACGAACCCTTCGAAGGCCTCGCGGAGATCGAAGAGCCGGTCGACTGGTAGCGCGCCGATCCTCAACTCGTCATCGAGGTCGTCGTCGGCGCGATCGAAGATTGCCCGGTGCTCGTAGGTGGGCCTCGGTGCGAATTTCTTCGGATGCACCAGCTCGGGCCCCTCGATTCGTTTAGTCTCGTCCACGGTAGGCGTTGGACGAGCCGGTGGCGGATAACTCGACCACGACGACGACGACGATGACGACGACGACGAAGAAGAAGAAGAAGAGGACGAAGACGAAGACGAAGACGAAGACGAAGACGACGTCGCGGCGGACGGTGGTGCGGGTGGTGCGGGGTGGTGCTGGTGGTGCTGGTGGTGATGGTGATGATGGTGCAGGTGCGCGTCATGCTCGCTTTGGGAGTGCCTTGGCTGCAGGTGCACTGTGCTGGAGGCACGATCATGCTTGGACAACGTGGAAGAAGAAGAAGAAGAAGAAGAGGAAGAAGAAGATGAAGAAGAAGAAAAAGAAGAAGAGGAAGAAGAAGAAGAAGAAGAAGAAGAGCCGCGATCATAGAAGCTCTTAGATCCCTCCATTTCACGATCATCCGTATCTTTCTCCCTGTACAGAGGCCGATGCTCGTCGTCGGTACCAGCACGAGCCTCCTGCCGGTCCTCGTCGCGATCGGCACGAGGATCGTACGTCTCGACCACGAGGACACCGGGCCTGCCAGGCAACTCCGGTGCTTCTTGATGACGACCGTGCTGATGGCGGTGGCCGTGCTGACGCCCCTGTCCCGCCTCCTGGACGTCGTACGTGCTCTCGTGGTCGTAGTACGAGGTGCGCGCGGCCCCGGGGAACAGAAAATAGGGGTACATACTGGTCGGCGGTAACCAGATCTCCTGGTAGCTCTCCTGCTGCGGGTCGAACGGATACAGGGCCGAGTCCGTGCCCGACAGGTCTACGGAGGTGGAGGAGGGCAGGAACTCTGTAACAGAGAAGCAGAGACGCGGACGAGAACGGGGTGAGTGGGGTGCGTGATCGCATCGGTACACGTGCACGGACGGGTTTCGCGTGCCTACGTGCCTACTCTTGTGGTCTTCGTGGTGGCACCGCGATGGTGGTGGTAATGTGACGATGGTGATTGTGACGGTGATGGTGGTGATGATGATGGTGGTGGTGGTGGTGGTGGTGGTGGTGGTGGTGGTGGTGGTGGTGGTGGTCAGAGTGATGGATCGTACACCGTTCTTCGAAGTTTGCCTTGATCGAGAAATTAACGAATCTCACGCGGAAAGCGAATCTTTCTTCCGAGAGTACGCGTTAATTATTGAGCAATCGTTAATAACTTTTGTTGTGATCAATTTTGGAATAGGCGTTTATTAAACACGAAAAGCTGTGGAGCTTAGCAAATGGATTAACTCGGTAACCTGCAAATTATTCCAGCGACAAGGTCTCCGTCGAGGGGACCATTATCCGAAACCCCTTCGGTGGTAGCAAAGATCGATCGAAGTCGACAGTGACTGGCAAAAAGAAGAATCTCCTCCTACGTAGCTGGAGCTCAAAGCGGGTGCTCGCGTTTGCTTAGCCGTTTGTCGTTTCGAGTCGGAGTTTCCTGGCAAAAGGAATCCCGACCGTCGATTCCGATTACATCTTGGTTCGTTTAATCCCCTCGACTCTTGGATTTTTCCTCATCCCAGCCACTCGAATCTTTGCCACGCCGCCGTGTCACGCGACCACGCGAAAAGAAAATATTAGCAAGCGTCTGAGGAATCCTGCTCTCGGTCGGTTCCAAGTTGTTGGAAAACCAGATTCCAACTGTTCGTCCAACATTGGCTCCTCCTCCGCGTGTTGGTAAGTTTAAATGGCAGGTTTTTTGCCGGTTGAAAAGTCCCCTTTACCCTTTCGAGTCGGAAATAGGGAGGAGGGTTAAAAAGAGAGATGTCGGGAAAGGGCAGGTATTACAACACGTACCTTTTCGAGGTGTAAAAAAGGTCATCGATGTTATAAATGCGTTTCATTACTACGTCGTTGTAATAAATGTTATAAACGCGAAGAAAAGGTGAAAGAAAAATATCGAGGACGTTTTTTGTCCATTAATTATTCGCTGGAATAATTCGTAGATTATCGCGACAATCGTTGATACCTTTCTTTTTTTCTTTCTCTCTTTCTTTTTTTCCTTCTAACAAATTCACCTAAAGAAAAATTGATTTCTTCGAAAAGTATGCGAGAGAAAAGGGGGAGTAGAGAGGAGTCGAGTAAGTGAGTCGAGTAACAGAGAGTAACAGAGAGTCGTGATAGGCGATTAATCGACGCGCATGCGTATTTCAGATAGATGTAGAAAAATACGAGAGCATGCAGGTTGAGAACGTGCACGACATCTAAAAAAAGTATCTCGTGCAAAAGTACAACAACATGCGGTGCATAATTTCCTTTGCGTTCGCGCCCGAAGGCTTTCGGCTTTCTTATCCACTTCTTCATCGAACCGCCTTTTTTTTTTTCTTCCTTTCTTTTTTTCGTACACGAAACATAATCGCGACTCTTTTCAAGCCTTCCTTTTTTGTTTTTCCATCCATTCCCACGATCACGAAATAAATCGGAAAGGGGCTCACAACCGAGGATAAAAAGAAAAAATTCGCTTGGAAATTATTTCGAACGGTATCGACAATCCGTTATAATACGTATATAAATGGAAACGCGACAGTCGAAAAATCGGGAAATAAAAATAAAAATACTTTATCGCGAGGCGATAAAAAGACACGGAAGGGGGGGAAAAACAAGGAAGAGAAGGTATGCTAATTTTTCTTCGCGTCGTTGGCGTTCGTCGCGTGTTTTCCCCTTTCGATCGGGAGCCCGATTCGAGAAATTCCCTCGTAGCATTTCGTGGCGACCCAGTTCGATTAGAACGATCGAGGACGCGAGAGTCGAACCGAGGTGAAAAGAGGCGGAACGAGTCGAGATTGCGGATGTTGAGCGTGTATATATATATATATACCGGGGAAATCGTGCGGATCGATCTCGAAATGCGGATCCTTCGGGCGGAATGCGTACTTAGGGGGTGCTCTGGCGGTGCTCTCGTGCACACGTTTCCCTCCTCGTTCTCTTGGATCTCCCCTGGATCTGGATCCACCCCTTTCTTTACTCTCCCTCGCTTCCGTTTTGCCTCGCAGATATATATCCGAACCGGCCATTTTTTGGGGAATGGGTCGCGAGACGCGGTCCAGGATCTCCTCTCTTCGTCGAATCGTTTCTATTATATTTTTTTATTTCATCTTTTTGACCGATATCGAACGTGTTCGTCGAGTCGTTTGAATAAATTTATCCAACGGACGAAAGATCGGTGTTCGAAAATCTCGAGATCGAGGACAAGAAGGAACAACGATTTCGGGATGATGGTGTCCCTCTCGATCGCAAAACTTGAGCTTCCGCGAGGAAATCGCCGTTCGTCACTGAGGAAAGAGTTTTAGAGTAATTCCTTTTCCAGAATTTCGTATCGTTTCGAGTAAAGATTGGAAATGAAATGAAGTGGAGGAGCGCGTTTATGAGATATTATTCGCGATGGTAACAAAAATCCGCGTTCGATTTCCTCGATATCGATCGAAATTCTTCGTGTCTACGCGAGTCGGAACTAATGGTAATTTCGTCGTTGATCAGTCGCGCGATTTTTCTTAACCGATCGATAATACCGATTTGTTCGAGGACAGGCTGCTTGATGCTTGGAGAACGAACTCCTCGAAGCTGAAACGTAGAAAATTGATCGTCCACCGATCACGATCTAATTATTGCTCGGCCAAACGCACACTTAAGATAAAGAAAACAAACGGTTGCACGTGGCACATGCGCCTCGTATGGTGTACTTACTGTAGATGCGCTCTATGTAAATGTAAACCTCCTCTTATCGTATGTGTATCACGAACCATCACACTGTCGATCGTGGACCAACGCGAATAGCTCGATCGATAATTAATTAACTGGCTCATAATCACATTTTCAAATTATGCATTTTCGATTCGATGAATTCGACAATTCGAACAATTGCATTTACAATATTCGAATTCTAATATTCATTGTATCGAGAAATTCCATTCCATCGATGATCTTTTCCAATTCTATCGAATTTTTACGTAACATGGGCGAAATTATTTCTGCATTTTCCAAAGAATTCAGTCCTTCTTTCTTAGAATGAAAAACGAGCGAAATATACTATGATTCGGTGATGGAGAATCGAGACAAACGCGAACTGGAGAATTTCAAGGGGATATGCTTCACCCAGTTCTAAACCGAAGAAAAGTGAAAACCAACGTTATCTTATCGCAAAGGTGATCTTCGACTCGAGCTCGAAGATAAGACGAGGCATAATTTCACGGGCGAGACGAGGAAAGAAGGAGGTAAAAATAGGCATTCGAGTGTCATTAAACTGGAATGGTATGGAAGGAGCGATGTTCCTTCAAGGGGACACGGGATTTCAGTGAAATTAAGGTCGAGCCTGCCACGCGATGAAATCCTTATCTACATCTCGATACTGGTGGCCTTTGGTTAATTAAGGAGAAAGGAGCTTATCCGAAGAAGGCTATAACGTCGTCCCACGAGCCTTAAACACCCTAGTATCGCTGAGAGTAATTGCCTCCCTTCCTCTTCCTCTCCCTCGAGGAGAGGAGACCTCCCACCTTCTCTTCGACACGAAAAATAACGAATCCCGGAAACGGGATCTGTCCGGGTCTATCTGCCGTTTTTCGGGTTTGTTTACGATGGAAACGACCAAACTTTCCGTCCTATCCTCGCATCTCACCTCTTTCCTTCCAAATTTCCTCCCCCTTGGAAACGAACTTGCGACCCGAGTTTCCAAGTTTCGAGCGTGTATCGCTCGTCGAAAAAGTCAATGATGATTTGAATGGAGAAGAAATTGGCAATTCTATTGGATAGGAGAAGACTTTGACGTGAGTTTTAGTTTTTTTTAGAGAGTGATAAAGATTTTCTTCCTATTTCTTCGATCGAGATTTTTAAAACTATCGCGTATTGTTAATCGTTGTTAATAATAATAATTAAATGGACTAATCCGCGTTCCAATTCCAAGATCGACAGGGTGGTTCGTGTCATTTCTATGTGGTACGCTTATATCGATCGAGGTAAAAGGTGACATACTAGAGAACAGAGCACTCGATATAACAAGATACAGATACAAACAGATATACAAAAGGGGAGAGGGGCAGTCTCGAGCCACGGGACGAGAAACGGACGGGAAACTAAAATGGAAAATTGTATCGTGTACACAAATCAAGAAGGAAACGAAACAAAAGATGTGACAATACACACGTTTACTTCACACAACATCGACAATCATCGCCTTCCACAAGGATGCGCTAAAGTAAAACGATTAACGTTACACGTAACGCGTGTAATACTCGTCCATTCAATATTTTACAAAAATGTGTCTGACAAATCGCGGGACATAGAGATTAATAATCGAGAGAAGCGAGAGTAAAAATTTCTCTGCGTGTGTGTACGCAATTGTTATATATACCTGCGTATAATGTATACACATAAATATACATATAAGTATATATATAAATATATTTAAAAAATTGGAAACAGATTTCATACTTACCAACGCAGGGATTGTGATTCACCGTGGAGAAAATCCTGTCGCAGCGTCTTTTCATGTGATTGTTGGGACAAATGCAGCCGAACATCGGTGACAGTCGTAGCTGGGTCCAGGAATCGTGGCAGGCGCTCCTGAAAAATAAAGAAAAGAAAAAGTTAGAAGGGAAAATCTTTGATTGGCAATCGTCGCGGAATTGTTGAGAAAAATCACGAATAACTGGCCGAACTTTAGAAGGTAGAAGTGAAGAATAAAGTCCTAGCTATAATAAAGCTAATTGTTCTCGAGTAAACGCGTTTCTAGAGTTCGAAAGTCAATTGATAGGGTAAAGTTTTGTTCCTGGTAGTAAAAAAAAAAAAAGAGAATTTCTTCGTTTCGGAGCTTTTTTAAGATCGCTTTTCAAGCAAGCTTTCGTCTTTACAATTGGCACGATTTTGGTTTTAAATGGAAACAACGGAAATTTTGTATAATTTTGAATTTAAAAGATCTATTTTCCTTCTATTAACAATGGATATTTAATACGAGGATGGATGGTCGAATTACTGACATATTAATCGATGCTTGGATACCAGGCAAATATAGAGGATGGATTTCGATACGATTAAAATCGTGCTAAAGAAAATGACCCGATCTAAATTTTATAAATTATCTAGAAAGAAACCTACATTCTTTCTACTTAGTAATTTATATACGATATAAATAAATCCCTGATGCATTGAACAAATATAGAAAGAATGGATCACGATTTTATCGAAATAATTTCAAACGAGAGAGACGGATAATATTTTAATCGTCACGGTTGTAAAATAAATATATCTTCCAAATTGAATATCACGGATCTAACAATAAATTGACCTACATCTATCGAGCCTGTATTTCTATTAATAATTTTCATTAACACGTGTGGAACGAATCATTGACGCACACGATATATACTCGAGCAAATATATACTGGTTATTTTGACATTATACGGGTTAAGGTATTTCAAAATGGCGGGGTAACGTTTTAACCAAAGTTTCGAAAGTTTCTCTACCACGCGGTTCCGATCGGTGCGATGCAATAATACCGCCGCTTATCCGAACTGTATCGCGAATTAATCAAGTATTAGTCGATAAGCGAGGCAGTTTTGTAATTATCGGGACGATCGATAGTTTTGGACAGGATCGGTGAAAATGCCCGTTTAATCGCGGGTTAATTTCCGTTCGCGCGCTAACAACAACAATCGCCAATAACGAAACGTTTACCGATGGAAATCAAATCGGATATCATTAACTGTGCCTTTAAAGGCCGCGCCGAAAGGGCGCGCAGGCATCGATCGGGTAAAACCCATTCGGAGAACGAATTTAATTAAAACATCGTTACCGTTTAAAAACTGGCTAACACTTTTCCTATAATAATCGTGATCGCGGTTAACTGTTTAATTGAAAAGTTTCACTTGTCGCGGATAAAAAGAACGGGAAAAGAATCGTCCGCACGATTACGCGTTTAATTATACTTTCGAGAATTTGACGATGGAGAACGAAGGGATTGGGATCGATGTCTAATTAATAATGTCAGGTGAAAGAGTTGATCCATTTAAAGTTAAAGTTACTTATCGCAATAATATTTATTCGTAGCTATTATGATCCGCTCTTCGTAATAATCTCAATCGTTTAACACTATTTGTTTACAGTTTAAATTCAACTATTAAATTTAAGAGATTTTTGCTTTGATTCGATCGCAATTTTTAGAATTTTTAGAAAAAAGTCGTGGAACTCGAAGTACAGTTAAAGATATGGATATTAATATATTTCTCATTTAGAGAAGAGATATTTTAAAAGGATCGTTCGCTAATAATCGAATATTATTCCTACAACTATACATCTCTATGGTATATACCATTAAGAAAGTTCGTAATCGACATTGAATAATCGATATCTAAAACGACCTAAAGATAATAAATATCGATAGATAGATTGATATTCGAGGATCGATATTACAAAAAGCACGATGTTAAACGAAACGATTAATATAAAAAGTGGACGATAGATGAAACTGTAACTGAGAAACGAGTGTCGAAAAAATTTTCATATATATATATAAGTTTCTTTCAAGTCAAAAATACGCATTGTTCGCTTCGCAGAACGTTTCAATGGTTGGCAAACGAGAGACGAGAGATGGAGGAGAGCGAGAGAATTCGAGAAGAGAGAGGGTTGTTCTTCGGAATTATTTGGGTTAATGGTACACACGGTTCTATGGTCCTCGCCCTCGTCAAATTAGAGGGAGAACAAAACAAAGGAAAATACGAAGGTGAAATAAAAGCGGCGTGCCAACTAACTCGGAGGATGGACCGTACGATATATTACGAAAAATCGTGCAAGACGACGTCTATTCCAATCCCGATTCTCTTCAAATAATCCGTGTACGTTTATTTAATCACAACGCGGAAATCGGGACGACGTGCGTTTATATATAATTTTGAAATTGAAGTAGAAAGGGAAGGCGGAGTTTTTTAAGAGTGTACGAATACGCTTGAGTTTATCAAACGAGAGCGCGTAGATTTGAGCGAATGTTTTTCGAACGGAATGAGGGTTTACACGAACTATTGTTTCCCCTCTCCTTGTGAATTCAATGAAAAGCTATTTGCATTTTATTAAAAAAAAAAAAAAAAAAAATCTACTTCCTTTTATTACCAAGATCCTCCACTTCCTATCCCACGTGTTTAAGAAAGAGTTTAACTGTATCGATGAAGAAACGAGGAACAGGAAGTTGGAAGATAAGAGGAAGCCCCTCGAGAAAGCGATATCCTCATCGAGGCGCAAACTTGTCCAAGCCTCGTACGGATTCGCATCAAACTCTGTTGAACAAGTGTTGCGAGCGGATAGCGCAAAGTTTTCGAATCATCCTTCCATTACCTTCGAATATCCACTAATAATCTTTAATGGAAGAAAAAAAACTAGCGAAAGGAAAATCACGTTCCTTCGATCGAACGAGGTTCAAACGACGTTTAGCTGAATGAAATTATGGTTTCGTGTGACGACGCCGACGATTTTCGTCGGCGGTGTGCCGCTGACAGATATCCGGAATGTAGTCTGTTCGAGGAACAAGCGTCGTCGTGCGGTCTGCCCGCACATCGAACGCAGTCTCTCGAAGTCGTGTTCGAGTTCCAGCTTTAACCCGTTATCCCCTAAATTTATAGTCGGGGGTTGGCCAGTTTGTCGTTTCGAATTTTCCATTGAATTTGATCGTCTTCGATGGAAAGAAAATACGAACGCGTTTCTAATCTAATTTCGGGAGAGAACATCTGTGAAGCGTACGGGAAATTTCTGAATTTTCGGGACGTGATAAAAATCGGACGCGAAACGCTTTGAATTTCTAAACCCGCGAATGAATTCTTTCCATCTCGGAGAGGGGATATTCGAATTTATTCTACGATCGCGAAATCTTGAATAACACGTTGGAGAGAGGAACAGGTGACTCATCACCTTCTCCTCCAACGACTTTGTCGCCAGAAATCGATGTAACCCATTCTCGGGCCTGGCTAAAGAACGTATGAATAATTCAAGGACGCGAGAGACGACAGTCGAGTGTTCTGGATTTAATCAATGCCAGATAAGAAGGTGGCTCTGGTTAATTCATATCAAGGAATGGGATGGTGGATGGTTTATTAACGGCGTCAAAGGGAGAGGCCCGGTGAAAGTGACGAGTTTCTTCTCACGTATGCTAATCAACGTTAGGGAAAGTTATTCCTGATGCGGGGAATTTAATCTCGGGACGCGCCAAAGACGCACAGAGATTCGGCTAACCCTCAAATTGCATACAGGGTTCCGCTCGTGGAACAGTATTTCAGAAACGCGCCCCACTCCCTTTCCCAATTTGCCAGCATAATCTAGTAGGAACAGATTTTGCAAAGAAGCTTTCTCTCCTCCTCGAAACTCCTTCCGAAGCGATTCTTCCGTTTGCTCGTGAAACATTTACAAAGCGATATCTAGAAAGAGATCTCCAACGAATAAAAAAAAAAATCTGAGATTTCGAGAACAATTTTTGCTAATCTGTGAGATCGTTAAAAAATAAGTGAATAGGTTTAGAAAAATTGCTATTTTTTTTTACTAATACTTTTAAAAAGTATCAAAGGAACAAGCAATCATTGATGCAAAAAATTAGTATTGGCAAAAATCGAATTCAAATCAATTGATAACTTGATTGTGATAATTTTAATCTTGCTTTTTGATTTGCGTCGTGATTTATCGTATCGAACTTCGATCGAATATATTATTTTATTAAGTATATATATTTTTATATCGATGATTCTAAAATTTTGAACTTTGGATTTCAAAGTTCGAATTTTTAACCCGAAGAAAAAGAAAAAGTTCATCATTTGGCGATGTGTTTTTTCGCCTGTTTTTCCTCTCGACTTTTCCCCTCCTCCCTCGCCTCGCGTTCGATTCGATTCGCGTTTCGAAGCCAAGTTACAAAGCGTAAAGTTATCCAGTGTTATTCGAGAGGCAAAAGTAACGGACCTATCGTGAAAAGAAAAGGTTATGAGGGGGTTGGTGGACGGACATTCGTGGAGATTGAAAATCGCACGCCGGCAATGAAATATACGCTCCGATTCTGTCGATTTTCGACTTTACTGGGGGATTCGAGCTATCCACCTTCTCTCTGCTTTCCACCATAAGTCTCTCTCTCTCTTTTTTTTTTTTTTTACGTCGATCTGTCACGAACCGAATGATCACCGCATGGAAAGATTCGCTCTTAAATTTAACCAACTTTGGTTGCTTTCGAACGCTTATCGATTCAAAATAAGCTTCACTTTTGCGTGTGACAGATGTATTATCGAGATGATGAAAATATAATATCCGAGTCACCGTGTTTAAAAATGAATACAAAAGAAAAAAAAGAAAGATTTCAAATCGATTAAATAAATATACATACACATTGTGTCGTTCGATTCCATCGTGATTAATTAATCTTTGATCTTTGAGAAAGATTCCGAGAGAATTTTTCGAAAAATTCTCTACCCTTTCGAATAATTCAAATATATCCCAATTACATACTCACGAATCTTCTAATTAACGAAAAGAAAAGAAGAAAGAAAAGAACATTAATGTTATTATTATATACGAGCAGCACACCATTGTTCCACTCGACGAA